CTCACTTAGCCGGGCTCTCCAAATAGTTGGCCCGGGGCACTTGAGCAATGCGAACGCGGGACATTAGACGCCACCAATGCTGCCATAAACTGAAGCCTGTGGCAGCATCTACGTGCCGCAGCTGGCAACGACATGCACGGACTTGTGCCATGCGCCTCAATATTTGGCCACGGAACGGTTATGCCATTGTTATTTCTGTGGGCGCTTGTTATTGTTTTTGTAGGCGTGCGTGCGTTAAGGACCAGCACTTTGTGACTGTGCGTGTGTGTTTGTGTGTGTGTGAGTGTGTGTGTGTGCTTTCCAATTAAGCCTGATAGATAAAGCACAACATGAAACTGAGGTGAAAGCCAAAGTTGGACTTGGCTAAGACAATGCCAAAACAAGCGCTAACAGCATTGGCTTGTTATGTCAGCGACACAGGAAGACACACACACACACACATGTGCACACACACACACACACACACACCCACAAGCACACACAATCTGCGACGAGTGTCAAAAAGCGTTGCCTGCTTCTAGGCGCCCGCTGAAAGCCGCTCACATTAAGTCAGCTGCAACCTGTGGGACAGCCCCCAGCCCTTCCCACGCTCGTCTCTCTTAACTCGACAATCAATGAACATTTGCCTAATCTCAGTTTTTCACTTTGGAAAATTGCGCTGCCGTTGTTGGCACTGTTTGGCTTTTGTCATTTTGGCGCGTTTCGAGGTTATTATTCAATTTTCGCACAAATTGCTCACATAAGCGGATTAGGTTGACAAACACATACCCTGCACAGCACAACCCAGCACCAGCTCCGCCCCACACTCGCTTTGTGCAGCTCGAAAACAAGCTATAAATCAGCTTAAATTTACACTTTGCCTCTGACAGCTTCAGCATACAAAATAAAATAAATAGAACGAGAAAAAATGTGAACAAACGCAAATTTTCTCTTCTTCAAATATTTTTCATGCGTTGCGTCCTGTAATCGATATTAAAATCCGCTTAGCTTTATTTCCCATTTGTTTTTTCCCCAAGTATTTGCTCGATGTCGCCGTCAACAATGGCCCAAATGTAATAACAAGTCTTTTATGTGTGTTCCTTCTCCCAGCCCATTAGCCCATTTGTTCAGCTCGAGCGAGGCAAGTGGTAATGAAGCTGAAATCGAATATCACATCAAGCTGTCGACTTTTAGCAGGTGGAAATTGTAAATAGAAAGCGGCCTATACAGTACCTTTGTTGTAGGTTTGAACAAAAGACTTGTCTTAAAAAGCAGTGGAAAGCTTTTAGCTCTGGAAACATGAGGATAAGAGTTAGAAAACTTAAACATAGACATATCAAAATTTCGATAGGCGTCTCGGTCTCATGATCTGTTAAAGTTAGGATAAAATTTGGCATGTTTAAAATTATAAAGTTGCAGATTCAAATCGTGGGCAACTACAATAATAAAATGCAAAACCAAGCGAAATCTTTTGTTATACATATCAAGTTAAACCCAAAAAAAATGCCGCTCAGCTTTTGAGAGCCTTTAATTTCCAGCCGAGCACCTCGCTCTTAATATGCCCCCATGGACTCGTAATTCTACCCAATTTATCTGTGGTCAACTCAGGTGCTTAACGTGTTTTTAATCATGCCTCAACGACAGGCTCATTACGAAAGCGCTGCACATGAGTTAAACAACGTTTGAGAGGCCCATGATTAATGTATGAGTAGCAGAAGGACGACCGGAGGACAGGAGGAGGGGGCAACATGACTGCAGGAAGCGAGAAGAGACGGCTGATAATGACTGAAAGTGTGCACAACAACATCCGAGCAGCACATACACACATGTGTGTGGGTGTGTGTGTGTGTTCTGGCACGTAAACTGGCAATGACGTAAGGCGTTAGGCGTAAGGCATCTACGTAACGAAAGAGCGCGATAAAATTGCGGAAGCGCTGAGAATGCCGATGGCATCGTCCCGCAGCTAATGATGAAAATGTCGCCTATACTCATTGAAAAAAGAAGAGGGCATATTGGTGATGTGAAGCATAAGAAGGAGCTCATAGCGTGCAGCCGAAGACGGACCTAATCACATAAAAGTTATTTAAGAACACGTCTTTCGTTAATTGCATTAGCTGAACTCCGTAGCAAAGAGTCTGTGTTTTGCCAAGTAGAAACTTCATATAGGGTATCTGCTAGTCGAGCTTGATTGGGTAGAGCTACCTTCTTTGTTGCTTTTTACGTGCCACGGGCCAATCGCATCGTCAACCTTTTTCACCTCTTTTGTATGCCCAACACATGCGTTGTCTACACTAAGGAATATGTAAGAAAAATTTGGAAGGCGGAGGGGAAATGTGGACGGAATGTGCAGGTGGGAAAAATGTAACTCACCTGTCAGGCAGGCAAACAAGCTAAACGCTACAGCCATACAGCAGGCTAACCATATGGGGCTTAGGCTTCGTGATACTCTCATAAACGATTCAGATTCCGTTCCACTTGCCTGTCCTCCATCAGGCCCCCTTCGCTGCCTCAGTGTGGACTATCTCTGGCTTAAAGTTGTCGTTGGCGTATCCGTTGCGCCGTATAGCGACTGGCTTCAGTTCCGCTGAGGTTTTCATACGGAAATCGGTTTGTCTTTCGGCTGCCTGCACATGCGGCTTGCCAAATGCCGCTGCATTTGTTGAATTTCTTATGCACAGCAGCAGATGACAACGAGTCTGAAGTAACTTAAGATATAAGTTAAAGGTGTTCTTGAATTGGGAAGCTTTTTGATTTCGCCAATGCCAAGTGGCAATTGCAAATTCCGCGCTGCACAAGCTCTTGAATCGTTTTATAGTTATGTGTATATATACATTTAAAATTAATAATTTGTCTTTTTTTGAGAATTGCTTTCAATATATATAAGCACATATTGAAGAATCTCCATAATAATTCTTGACAACTTTAATGCGGAATATTTTGTGATTGAACGTAAATATTCACCTAGGTTTAATTTTTTGCAAACTTCTTGCGCAAATCCACTCATGTTTCGCAGTTGCCACAAGTCGAATTTGAACCGTTTTGAGTTTTTGTGGAAACACCTGCTCAAATATTTTATCTCTGGCCTGTAGATGCGACAAACGAGCATGTTTTATGTAAGGCCTTTATGCTGTTCATGTTTACACAGACAGCCCACCAATTCCCTACGGCGCCACACCCGGGGCATCCACTTACCTTTAGATAATTTAAAGTGTCTGCCCTGTTTTGCCCTGCTTTTGCTTTTTATGATGCCTTAAAAAAAATAAATATAAAAAAAAATGACTAAATTAGCGCAACAAACTCGCGTCTTACGTGTCGTATGCGCAATGTGGCGAAAGTTGTTGACTTTGCTGCGAAAGATGAGAATGTTAAGTCGTTTAACCTACATGCTGCACATTAGAGTATACGTTGAGTACTTGACGCTTGACAGATTTGATGACCCGGCCCCCTGGCCCGCCCAAAGTTCCCGCCAGCTGCGCCCGTTTCAGCAATTACATTAAGTATACGCCGGGCTGTTCAGAGTTTTTGCCGCTTGCCGCCTCAAGTTTTACGGTGTTTGTTTACTTTTGATTTTGGTGTAGAATAAAACCACATTTCGTATTTAGTTTTATAATTCTTTTTGCAATTTTTATTTGACGTAAATTAAAAACGCATTTCAATTTATTACGCGTACGCACTGTATGCGGGCAAATAAATATACAATACTCGTATTTGGTTTTTTTCTTTTCTTCTCTGGATTTTCAAATTTTCCCCTTTCGTTTCATAAAACTAGCAAAATTCATTTACACACAACAACAACAAAAGAGAAAACTCATCAAAATTAACAATCATTTTATACATAAAATAGAAAAAATAAAGTAAATGGAATGTCAAATTGCTTTGGACATAAACAAAAGGCTCAACAATATGCGCAATTTAAATGCTCGTTCGTGTGTGTTTCTGTTAAGTAGAAAAGCATGTTTCCTTTTATGATGAAATTGGAAATTTTCAATAAATTATTTGCGAGCAATTGAATAATAAAAATTAAAAAAAAATTTTTTGTTGTAATTTTTTTTCAGTTTGGCCTTGCTTTAAACAATAATAATATATACACTTAAATTTGTTGTTGTTCTTTTTTTTTTTTTTTTAAGGTTTTATGTACTTAAATTTATAACTAAAACTAATGATAACATTTTTCTCTCTCTCCCACTGCTGCGTCTTTTGCTTCTTTTGTTCCAGTTTTCTTATTTATTTTCTTGTTAGTTTTATTCTCTGAATAGTTGGAATTGGTTTTCTGCTCTATGTTCGGCTGCCAGCTAAATGAAAAGTGTTTGCTTTCAACGGTTAATTGACTTGAGGAATGTGTGTTAAAAATTGAGTTGAGTTGATTTGAGTTAAGTTGAGTTGAGCTGAGTTTAGTGTTGGGCAATGGAAATTAATGTTGAGTTCTTAAGCAGTTTGCGAAAAGTATTGTACGAGTACATGCGTAATACATATATGTATTTTTTAATATATTTTTTAAATATTTTTTTTTTTTTACATATACAAAAAATTAATCAGTCTAAGTACGTGTTTTTATTTTTTTTGTATGCATTGTGTTGGAAAAGAATACATTTACATATGCACATATACATATGTAAATATATATGCCAATGCATTTTAACAATTTTTAGCCGCAACGGCTAGACTTATACACATCCAACTTTAACTTAAATATGGTATAGTTGAAACTTTTGTTTTTCTTGTTTTACTTTTATATATAAACCCATTCTTGTACTTGTCGTATTTAAGTTTGTGTGTGTGTATTTCTGTGTAACTGAGTATATATGTGTGTGTGGTTAACCGTATTTCAAACATAGAAACCACATACAACATCATTATCATCAACGTCATCAAATCCGAATAGTTGTAACTTATATATCACGACCTACACTCCCACTTTTTCCTTGCCAGCAGAACGTCATTTTTCAGGGAGCCTCAATTTCTTGTCGTATCGTAATTTTTTCTATTTAGTTGGTCGATTCCTGCATTTGCTCATTAGTTTCTCACGCATATTTGGTAAAGGCCCAACGTTGGGTGGACAGCGCCGAATTGCAGCCCTGCGCACTGATGCCCTGCTCATTGTGATCCCGACTATCCAGACACACATTGATCTTGTTGTGTTTCACTAGACCGCCGTCCCGCATGATCCAGCGTTGGTTTTCCGTATCGTCGCATGACTTCAGCACCACCTGCGAACCGCGGGCGAACTGGACGAGCGTCAGGCAGAGATCATCGTGCTTGATTTCGCCACGTTTCGAGTACGCCCATTCCTGATTGCCGCCCGTATTGTGGCAGGGGAATAGACCTGTAAATGTGTTGAATGAAATAAAATGGTAGTGTTGCAAAATGCAATAATCTCAATACGCAAAGTTTGCTTGGAGTTGATCAGGTTTTAGTATTAGAATGCGTTTGCTAAACGTTTGAAGCTAGCTAGTTCTTATTTATGATGATTAAAAATTACAATTACAATTATTTAGCTTAACGAAAGTTGATAGTGTTGTGAAATGTAATGCATCAAACTTTGTATTGTTGGTTAATAGGAAATGTCCAAATAAGTGTTTACACAACTATCTTATGGATAAATCAGTGCCGAAAGTGTTGTATATATCTAAGGTATACATAATTTTCTGATAATTCATAAAAAATATATATATCTTTCGTAAGTCTATTAATTGAATATTTTAGTTTTTGCCTAATCATTGTTTTTATAATTATAAACATATTCGAATTTGTTTTTTTTTTTTTTCACTTACCCACAGTGCCGTCAATAACATGACCCATAGTATCCAAGCATTCGGTTGTATCCTGTCTGAATTGGCCTACCTCCTGTGGCTCGGGCGCCTGCAGATCGGGATAGACGTTCTCCAAATACCATTTGAACGGCTTGCAATGCAATTTCTCCTTCAGAGCCAAACGATCATCAATGCTGAAGGAGGAAAACAAAGCAAAAAGCAGAGGCAACAAATTGAGATTAAGATTGAGAAGCTAGCCTTGCTTACTCACTTGCCAAACGGAATATTCTTGGCCAGCGGCACCGCATTGTAATAGTGCTGCTTGTAGTCATCCATCCAGACCTCGGCGGCACGTCGTGTATTTCTGGCAAAGACATTGCCACTGCCGCCGGGGAAGGTGTAGGGATGACGCTTGCGGAACACATGGCCAACACGACTGCAGGGTATTATCTCCAGGCTGCCACCGCATTGCCACACCCTGAACGAGATTTCCAGATTCTCACCGCCCCAGACATCCATCTTCATATCGTATTTGCCTAGCTTATTGAAGTACGCCTTATCGATGACAAACAGCCCGCCCGCAATCATGGGCGTGCGTATGGCAGTGGTCGGATCATTGTGTCGGGCCGCACGCTCCGTGGGGCTCAGATATTCCCATTTGAATATCAGATTCCAATCGAAACCGCCGCGCAGATCCGCCGAGGCGCCAATATACTGAAAGTTGTCCATGCTAATCACATCGATGACGGGGCATACCACACGCGTGGGATCCTCACGCACACGTTCCAAGAGCGGCTCCAGCCACTGCTCGTTGCACTCCACGTGGCTGTCGAGGAAGGTCAAAACACTGCTAACGGCTGCATCGGCACCGCGTACACGCGATCGGACTAAGCCCTCGCGTTTATCGTTGCGTATGATGCGCACCTTGTCGATCTTGGCCAGCTCCAGACCGTCCTCGGCTGGACGGGAGAAATAAGATAGCAAGGGATATTCACATTTTGGTAAGTTTCGCATTATAGAAATCTTTTATTTATAAGTTTTATTATTTCTATATATGAATTTGCGTAAAGGAAGTCGCTAGTTCGATTGCAGGACTGAGCCACAACTCTGAAGCTCGGAAATCTATAAACAATTGGATTTGCATTCGTCAAAGGGTTGAATTATGGCTTAAGTGGTTCACTTTCTTAACTCGGGAACTATCCAAGTTGTAAAGTTTAAATTGGCTATTAATGTGCCTTGCATCTTATTAACAAATTCTGCAAAAGCGATCCAAGCGTAAGCATTAGATACTTTCGGGAATTATGAAAATATTCAGACAAATAAAAGGGTTCACAGTCTCAGCATAAAACTGAAGCAAGAGATATATCCACGCTTGTAAATAAGCGTACACTTTAATATATTGATTCCCATATTTCAAATTCTTTATCTAACAAAATTTATAGAAGTCTCAATTATAGCCTGTCTTCACTAGCAGTTCACAATTTTGAAGGAAAATATAATTTGAGATAGTAATAAATAATTAGGTATTGCTTCTATATAAATCGAACTTAAAAGCGAATGAAATTCAACTTTTGGTCATATGAAAAATATTTAAAATTCTCAAGAAATGTGAAAAACCAAACAAATACTTACGATGATCACTGTAATCATCGACCAGCACAATTTCGCGTATTAGATGCTCGGGACTGCGATTCAGAACGCTGACAATGGTGCGCAAAAGCGTTGATCTCGCTTCATTGTGGAAGGTTATGATGACGCTCGTCTCGGGCAGATCCTCACGATACTTTTTCGTGCGGCACCTAAAGAACAAATGCCAAATTCCTGCATGAGTTGAGATTCTGCTGTGTCTTTTCATTTTCACTTACATGGGATTCCGGGTGTCGGGTATTTCACGATTGCTGGGCAGCGCATCGCTGGCTTCCTGATTGAAGCGATTCCGTATGTACGGATCCTCGCCGCTGCGCAGCCCACCGCCGCGTATGTAGCCCGCCTCGTCAAAGTACTCGACCTCGCCGCCGCGAGCGCTCGGTCCAACGGCCAGTCGACCGCCGACTGTGCCGCCGGCGCTGCCGCTGATGCCCTGAGAGGTCTCCTCCAGAGCCACAATGCCATTCAACTTGAGGCCATGCACCGCATTGCGTTCAAAGTCCTTTACAGAGCCGATTAAAATGACATTGCCACCGGGATCATCGGCGCCGCTGCCACCGATGCCGCCAGCCACACGTATGCCCGAGTTGGCAGCCGGCGCCCACTGACGAGATGTTGATGCGCCTGCCGATATATCGTCCTGATACTGTTGCATGGCCGTTGCCACCTCACGTAACCGCAGTGCTCGATTTTCAACCTGAATAGCGAAAGAGAAGAGAACAAGAGAGAGAGAGAGTTGCCCCATTTAATTTATTTCTTTAATCTGCGGTACTTTGGTGACGCCGCCAATGCGGCAATAATTCAACACAACTGCAAACAGACGCCTGTTGAAGAAGGGGGAAGGAGGGGGGGGGGGGGGAGGGTTCTACAACTTGCAACAAGAACAAGGAGGGGAGGCAACAAAAAAAACCTCTTCAGTTTACACTTTTCGAGCCAGAGGCTGACTTATGGCTCAGAGCGCACAACACAAAAATTCTTGTTTGCCAGTTTCGTGTTTTGTTTCAAAGATTCATAATCTATAAAGAGTGGCAAAGGTGCCGTAGTCTGACCCAGTTGCAGTTTGCTTAAGCCGGAAAAAATACACTTTAATTTATATGCGACAAGTTTAGGGTATGCAATAAATTGTTTGAAAATCTTTCTAAGTTTAAGACAATGCCGGCATATATAATGTTGGCAGTTTAAGTATACAAGCAGAGAGAATTATCGATTATTGAAATCGAATATCTTGGAATTACATTTTGATATTATTTTCGACCTTTCAGTGGTAACTGTCCTTTAATAAAAAAATAGTCTAACGTTGAAATTACAAATATTATTATATGCCTCAAAAATATAACGTATTAAAGTTAAAGTAAATCAAACGGCTGCTCGCAGGCTGTCCCACGTCCGGCTTAAGCTTGTATGTGTCAAGTTTTCCAAAACTTGTGCGAAAATCTCAATCACATGGCAAAACCCTGAAAAGGGTAGCAGCTGCTGAGGAAACACTGCCCAACTTCCTTGTACAGTATTCAATTGGCAACCATTTGGTCTTAAAGTTTGATGAGGAGGCAGAGCAAAAACTTTGGGACTTAACTAATGATCCATTGCTTTGTTGTTGTTGTTGCTGTATTTGTTGCTTAACGCTATTAAAAAAGCCAAATATTGACCGACTGCAGGCTCGCTCACCCTAATCGAGCGAGACAGAGTGAAAAAGCGAGAATGAGAAAGAGAAAGAGACGTCGGGCGAGTCGTCCCTTGGTCATCGTATGCGCTGCCCTTGACTCGATTATTAATTGCCTTCTATATTTGAATCTATTTGTCATGCTTTTTCCTGGCTTTATAAGCCAAAGTACAGGGCACAAAAATAAACGTTGCTTGTATTGCAGACCCTCATTTGTTATACGCTGCGTATGCGTGTTTTTTTTATTATTATATATATCTTTAATTTTTAGCATAGTGCGTCACGTTTCGAATTCAACTTCCGTTTCATTTGACTAGGTTTTGGTTTAGCATTTTCTTACGATTTACATGAGACGTGCGCCTTTTAACGCCATTTCGAAACCATTTTTATTGCGATTCAAAGGAGCGCAACAGCCCCAACTCAAGAGAGCTTTCAGCACATTCAACACGAGACACAAGTCGCCAAGACTTTTGGCCCCTTTCAACGGGCAACGTGTCTGCATTTTAAAATATGTTTTTAAAATGCTCTCAAAGCTTGAATTATGTGACTTTTTGCATTTATTTCAATTGAAGAGAAAGGATGCGCGAGAAGGGTTTTTGTGCGTCTGTTTGGTGCGCATTATATATAAGCTTTTGTTTTTACTTGTGCAACAATCACAGCTGAAATCTTCGGCTTAATTTTAAAATTTATAATGTACCTTTATTTACAAGTAGACGTTAAATTTAACTTGCAAATTTTGCTTACATTTTCCATTAGAAATTATTTCATCTAAGCAAAATGCTATTTTGAAGTCAGCAATAAAGAAATCTCTCTCTATAAAGAAATTCCGCTTTAAAATTATTATGTATTTACCAACACTTGTGCTTTTTAATAAACTACTCGATTTATCAAAATATTTATGTTCACAGTAAGATACCTTCATTAAGGACTTATTCCCGTCTTACCCCAATTGTAAATATTGTGCTCATCTCAATGCGCGTTTTATATGAGTTTGTCTCTCTTTACATTGGCCATAACAATGTGCTTAGTCTGTTTCTGTATCAGATGAGCTTATGGTATAAAATCATGATGCATTCAGCTGCGATGCCATTGGTTATTATCCTTAATTACGAGCAGAGACTGAGCTGCTTTTTACTTTTATGCATGCACACTAAGTGACGGTCGGGCTAAGGGAAAATGAATGAAAAAAGTACAAGAAGAAGAAGAAAAAGAAAACTGTGTGTGATATGTGACAATGGAGTCTGTGTAAAATGCAGACAACAAAAGACGATAATGAACATGGTGACAATAAACAAGTGTTGTGTATGGAAAGCCGACAAGAAAATACCTTAGCAAGTGTATTAATTACAGGTTCAGTATGATATCGGTTATGTTTATCGAATGAGAACTTTAATAATGTGTTTTGAATACTTCAAGGAGTATGTGTTTATATATGGTATCCAAATATTTGCTTTTCAAATCAAATCGAATCAAATCAAAGCGAGTATCTATTACAAATTGCATATCGCAGCTGTCTGTCGTATATTTATATCGAATACTTTTATCTGGAATGTTGAGTATCTATCGTTTATCGACTATTTGTGCATCATTACAAATCAACTTCAATGCCTTGCAAGGTCGCAACTCGACACATAATCAACGTAGCCCATGTAAAGCTGAGGAATGGGTATGTAGGTGCACACTGCGTATACGCAATGTTCCAGACATGAACTAGTACGCTTCTTATCGCAGGTCATCCCAGTAGGAAATAGGTATTGTACGGATACCCCCACTTAAATCACATTCCCCCACCAACCGCATTCAGTTGCCATGCAAATGCCATTGGCAACAGTTTCAATTTTGCCATTCGATTTGTCGCTTTTGCATCGCTCTTCGCTCATGTGTAACTTAATTAGTTTCATTGTTTGTTGTGTGTGTGTGTTGTGTTGTGTTGTGTGTGTTGGTCGAATGAGAGTGGGAGGGGGCGATGGTGGGGTAGCTTGGGGACTTATGGTCATTGATTGGCTGTGATGCTGTGTGCCCGGACGCTTTATGTGCTGAACTGTGTAAGCGGCTTATTTGTAGATCATTATGCGCATTTTGTAGTTGTAATTGACAGCAGCAACAATCGAGAACAAAACCAAAGCCGAACTCGACCCTGGAACGAACCCACAGAGTAACCCGTATGCAATCGATATATTGGTTATTAACTTGTTACAGCCACTAATTAGGCATAAATCAAATGAGTGTGTTTTGCCTTTATAATAAATGGCCAACGCATTCGACGCTCCCTCCACTCCCCTCTCACATAACTAGATTTATAGATGGGCACAACACGAAAATTGGCAAAGTTTTTGTGCGTGGTTGCAATTCCTGATAACAATTGCCAGTATGTGTTTAAGCTGTTTGATAATCAGGCTGGTAAACACCTCTTATTTTCTTTGTAACAACATTTTAATTAAGGTATCCTCTATTTATTTAAAAGAAAGTATCGATGCTTTAGCTTAACTTAATTCCAATTTGAAGCAGATTTATCTTGGGTTTGAAATGCAAAACCTTGAAGTAAGAAACATGCGAAAGTTTAATTAATTTTCCTATATTTTATATGTTTTGCCAACAACTATCGCTACTATAAACTATGGACTTCAACCAAGCTACCTCTATTAATTTTTGTTTTGCGTGTGAAGTCCTTAGGTTAAATACTTTCTGCTAGCCATAACATACATAGTCTTACATTCATCACACTCTGCTTAAACAGAGCTTAAACAGGGTATAAAATTATATTTCTGTTTGCGCTGCCATCAATACTAGCGACTGTCAGGCTCATATTCCATTCTATAAATAACCACGATTGCTCCCCAGTGTGCAGCACGTGTCAAACATACGCTATATACTATATATCTTTATATCTTTATATATATAATATATCTGAAATGTGATTGAGCTGCTGGGCACTACAGCATTTAAGTGTGCAATCCGTTTTGTGGAACGTGATATTTGGGGCTTAACTAAACTTGGGCGCGCATTAAGCCACGACGCTTATTTCGACACCTTTTGTTCGACCATCAATCAATCAAGCGCTCAATAGACACTTATGTATATTGACCTAAACTATACAATTTCCCATTGCTGCTCATCCAAACTGTGTCATTAGTCAATCCACAGCAACAACAACAACAACTACGGCAAACAATCTCATCGATATGGTTGGTGCCGCGCAACAAGTTGCCACAAATGGATTTTATTTTATTTTTCCTTTTTTTTTGGTTTTGGCCTTTTTTTCAATAGCTCTATATCTGATGAAAAGTTCAACGTTTGAGTTCAATGTCTTGTCTTCTACATTTTTTTTTTGCTATTTGTATTTTGTTGTTTTCTCTTTTTGTTTTTTGGTTTTTTACAAACAACTTGAAACAAATCATTGAAATTAGTTCGGACTTTAATGGTTTTCAGCTTTAAATGGCAGCTGCGCAACAAAATAAAAGTAAGAGTGCTCGAGGCAAGTGCACTCGACTGCAAGATACCCTGCAGGCAAAATAGTGCTTTAAATATGCATACAACAAATTATCCAACTGGTTTTCAGTTAAAATGTATTTAAAAAACTTTCATGTAGATTATGAGATCTTGAACACAATTTACAGGCTATTTAAATAACGTTCTTTTATTGTCTATGTAGCCTACATAGAAATGCCTCTGATGCATCTAGTCCCTAATTTATTTAAATTGTGCCAAATCCCCTTCTTTATATAGTCTCGTAGTTTAATAAGGCTAACAAATGAAAAGACTCTCAACTGTGGTCCCAACTGTGGTCTTGTGCCTGTTTTAAACAAAAGTGCGTTCCATCTTGTTGGGTGTAGGATACAAATATTTTGTATCAATTAAATACTTTTTAATATAATTACTTTTCATCTGCTTTATAATATTCAAACACATCTGCCTGCAACTGTCTAAGTTTCTTTTTTATGCTTGCAATTCAAATTTATTAATTAATTTAAATCCAATAAAAAAGCACTTTAAACAATATTTAGTTCTTTGCAAACTTTTTGTACGTATTTAAAATT